TTGTAAGCCTGATGAAGCCACTGCCACCACTAGTTGGCTTCACCCTACAGGTGGAAGGAGGCAAGCTGTATTTTCTGATCGAAAGTCGTCCCTTGGTAGTTGAAGAACTATTCTATGCAGTTGAACCATTCTGTCATATCATCACCAGAATAGGTAGAGAACTTAAGCTTCGCAAGCTTTGAATAAAATAGTTGGCGACCCACCTTTAGTTTGTTCGGGTTCTTCTTCGTGGATCTAATGTGGTGGTCTTGATCAGTTCTTTGGTATTGCTACTGACACCTTCTTGGGTTAGCACCATGGATTTCACCAATCGCCAAATGGTGTCTTCAGGTTGATGGATCCTATCGGCCAGCCCAGTTTCTATTTGGCTCAGGTGGTCCTATACCCCACCCATGCTTGCTTCCAGGTTCTCAATTCTCTCTTTATTAGCTGTCATGACTCTAATACCAATTGTTAGGTCCCGGTCAGAACCAAGAAGAATTTAAAGTGAATCAGTTTCTATTTAGGGCTAGAATTACCACAAGGATTTGTTGTAAAATGAAACTTGCTTTATTCATAATCTAATAAAGCTTAAACAAAAAAATTACAGCAACTTGTTCTTGTTATTCAAGAGCACAACGGATAGTGGAGGTAAAATAACAATTCTAACATTAAAAAGGATAACATAAAATCAAAAGAAGATGATAGCTTGACGAGGTCTTGTAGGATTGCGACTTGCTCAATTTCCCTTGTTTTCCATGTTGTTGACTTCGAAATACCAAGGATTCTTTGCTGGTTTTCTTAGAGACCTTCTGATCGTAACAGATTACCCCTCACTAAACTAATTAATCCTGCTACCTATATAAACTTTTCAGTTATTCTAATGGACTTACTACTTCCACTTGCAATCACAAGATTCTCCACCTAATTTCATTAATATTCACTTCAAAACTCTTGGTAAATGTTATTTTAAACACATTGTCTGCTTATAACAAAAATTTAGTTAGCGGACACTCCACAAAAGTTCTAAATTGTCAAATAGAGAGAGTGCATTTGAAGTACTAGCAACTAGCGCATAAGATATTGCAGGTGGATATAGAGAGGACCTGATGAAGATGGAGCATCGACTGAGGAGGCTCTGACTTGGTGAACAACCAGAGAAATTTGAGCCGGTGAGTGGAAGCGGAGAGGGTATTGGAGAGTGGAGATAGCATTGAAGAAGAGGACAGAGGGCAGAGGGAGGAGGGAGGTGAAGAGAGAGAGCTGACACGGCAACTCGGTGAGTCGAAACAGGCTCAATTCCTATCTGGGAAGTTGCAGCCATTTGTTTCAGACCATACATTATAATAAGCGCAAAACAAGATGAGAATGCAATTGATGCATTTTTGTTGTTGGGTTTTTCAATGAGCTACATGCACTTCAGGTTTATCTTTTAGTTTATTGAGTATATATATCAACTCACTCTTGTAAGGACCCAATATGAGTTTAATAAAATAAATGATTCATTTTATCTTATACTAGTAAATTGCTCTTATCTTTTTCCATAAAGTATAAACCATAAATTTTGCTAATTAGGAAGAAGGGACATATTTGAAATTGAAGTCTAGTTAGGAGAGAAACAGATATAATTTAAAAAAGGGGCATAGATGAAAAATGTATTAATTACATGGGTGTAATTGCAATTTAAATAAAACAGGGCACCTCACTAGTGAATAGGTTCTTCAACCAATCCAATGATGTCACATACAACTAAAAATGTCATAAAGCTCCATCACCATGACCAACGGGCCTGATCACACCATAGGGAATCGACGTGGCAGATCGGATGGTGCTGGCCTCCATAACACCACATCTGATGGCCAACACTTAACCTTAAAAATTGAAGGGGCAGGATTTGTTTGTTGAGAGGTTAAATAAAAGATTGGTTGCAGCTCGATGAAAAAAGAAAAAGAACCCCACTCCCAAATTCGGTGGTGACCGAAGAAGAAGAAAAAGAAGAGAAGAAAAAAGAAGCTTAGGGCGAAGGAAACTGGTGGTGGAAAACAGTACCGACGCATCGGGTTGACGCCGTACAAACAAGGACATAGGTAAAGCCTTCCTCACTTTCCTTGAGTTCGACAGTGGAACCTCATTTTATTTATTTTCTGAAGTAAAGTGTATCAGAAACCAAATCATGTTTTGGTACCGATTTCAACTTAGAAAGAAGGAACCCCCACACCGAGATTTCCTGCATCGCCTTTTGTCGAAGAGGTAAGGATTATTTACCACCTTACTCTATCTCGATAATTAGTACGCTTAGAATACGTATCTATAGAGGTTTTTCATTTCTTACAGACCTCAAATATGAGTGAATAATTTTTTATTTAAGGTGAAGGCATGAACAGTGATGTAATACACTCGTTTTTTGTTTAAAACAGTTATGCAGGAAGGTTTCCCAGTGTCCTCTGATGGGTAGTTGTAGATCCTGAAATGAATGGTAGAATAGTTTTAAGATTAGGTACCTGAGTATGTAATTTCTGCATCAATTAAAGGATGAGCACCAGTGTTGGAAATTTAGTTTAGGCACCTAAACTGATATGCATGAGGGATATATCAGCTCTAATGAATTCTATTAAAATTCCGTATCTGGGAAGTATCATGTTGGGGAGTTATTTGAGTAAAATAAGGGGTTGAGATCTGATGGGGGAATGATTATAGGATGGAAACACTAGAATACAACACAACAAAGCAGGTAAGGATTTAAAATTTTAGCCAATTAAATTATAAGAGCATCTTTGAAATTTCAAGGTAAATTAGTGAAGGGTACTGGGCATTATATAGATGAGAAAATTATAAAAAAAAAGAAATAAAAACAAAATAGACAACAAGGGGAATAGCGGAAAAATAAATATATGTGTGTATATATATATACTGATGTGCATACACAGGGGAAGAAATATAAAAACAAAATTAGGCAACAAGTGGAATAGCAGAAAAATAATTATATATGCGTAGATATATATACTGGTGCGCATACGCAGGGGGAGGAAATATAAAAAAAAAAAAAGGCAATAAGGGGAATAGTAGAAAAATAATTATGCATGTGTGTATATATATACTGGTGTGCATACGCAGGGGAGGAAATATAAAAACAAAAATTAGTCAACAAGGGGAATAACAAAAAAATAATTATATATGTGCGTGTGTATATATATATACCGGTGTGCATTATAGAATTTAGAGGATTGGTCTGTATGGGAACAAAAAATAATAGTATGGACAACATAGAAAATAAGGGGAAAATAATTTAGTTTTAATAAAAAAAATAGATTAGAGAGGAAACAAAGAAGCACATGTGTGAGTTAAAAGAGGAGAATAAATGGGGACAAGATCTGTTAAAATAAATAAATGGAAAGGGTTGTGATATATTGTCGAGTTATATTACAATGTGCAAACTTGACAAGTATATCGTTCAATCAATTACCATTGAGAGAGGGATGTGTGGGTGATCGGATTAACGTTCGAGATGAGTTTAATACTCCTTTCACGTGTGATAGATGGATGATTTATGGTAATACGCATCATACGAGTTGAGGGATGAATGTTATTACATATTTTGGAGTCCCTTTGTACTAGAAATAGTATAATTGTGACTGTTGTTATTGTAACATCCCGAGTTCGAAAAATTTATCTCAGAATAGTAAATTTAAATTTATTAAATAATAATAATAGCTAAGTTTCTTTTTTTTTTTTAATTTAAAAGATACAAAAAATAATTATTAAGAAGAATATATACATTTTGGGAATATTTAAAAATAAATTTCAGAAACTAGAGCAAAATTGTAAATAAAGGGGAGCAAGTTTGAAAGAAAAATTTGAAAAACAGGGGTCAATTTGTAAAAAGAAAAAAAAGGGCTATCTGGATGTCCAATCAGTAGCGCAGCGAATAGCTGCATGCCGCATGGCGGCCACATCAACACGGGCTCCACGCAGGAAACCTACGCTGGCAATCCGCATGCCAGGAAGATAAGACGACTCATGTCCACTCCTGCGCGGACGAACAATCCAGATCAATTCCCTGAATAAGCCAATCGAATAGCTCCTGTTGCCCCAGACAAACCTGAATGGACGACCCAGATCGATTCTCCAAATAAGCCCAATCGAACGACCTTTCTTACCCCACATCGACCCAAATGGACTGCCAGGATCAGGGGAAGAGAGGTATTTAAACCTCTCTTTAGTCGGCTCCAAAAGCCTAGACGACACAGGTGACCGAAGAAGAAGAAGAAGGGCGATCGAAGGAGAGATCAATCGCTAGAGAGATGCTACCGCTACCGCGCCAGAACCCAAACGTGCTGGTAAGCCAAAAGTTTTTTCTCATTCTTCCCATTTCTCTGTCCTTAGCTATGTAAATCGTTCTTGATGCAGGATAATCAAGAAAAGTCACAAACTACGAGAGAGGAACGACGGAGCTTGGCTGAGCTGCCGCACTAGAGAATGAAAATTGTTGGTAAGGCCAAAAATTTCCCTTCTTTTCTTTGTAAAACACCCCATTTCCATGATTTAGACTAATTTCCACAAGGAACCGGCCAAAATTGATTTGACCGAGAGAGAGAAGTGCTGGAGAAGGAGAACCAGGCGGCGAAGCTCGGCGGTGCCATCATGCTGGAACCCCAACTCGACCCTCGATGAGTTTTTTTCTATATTTTTCACCATTCTTTACATATTTTCACGCTGTTTTGATGTACGATTTTAAATTTTACCAAAAAACCCAAGAAATCCAAAAACTGGGAACTGTCGTGAACCGTAGTAAGAAAGGCAGTGTCTTGGACTATAACCTAGGGTAAAAATTCCTCAACCTTTCCCCTGTTACAATAAATTAAAGTTAAATCAATAATAAATGGTAGAACTAAATGGTCTTATGATTCTTTGATGATTAAATACAGGTTGTCGATGGAGCTAGTAACCAATTTGTTTATGTTCGTCACTAGTTTAATTGTGTTATCTACTCATTATTCTATCATTTTATTCTGTCTATTTATTTTTATTTCATTCTACTTTAATCTACTTTATCTTATTTTACTCTAATCTATGTCCTCTTAGTTGGCCTAATATATTTTCTGTTCTTCTTTCGTTATATCTATCTAGAATCAATATATTAATTATTCATTTTGAATCGTTGTGTTTTATTCCATTCTGTTTCATTATTACATTCTACTATACTTAATTTCGCCTTGATTTATTTGTTTTATTTGTTATTCATCATATTGCGACATTTGAAGTTCTTATTCCTCTACCCTATTTTATCCTGCTTTTATTTACCAGTTTATTCTCTTACGTGTTTTGAAATATAAATTTCGTACTCTTGTGTTGTTTGGGATATGGGCATACGTGTCATTGGAGGCTAAATAATATATAAAAGAAAAGGTATGCGTAAATTAATGTTGTCGAATGAAAGGACTTGTTAGGTATCATGGGAAAGAGTGTATGGACTTCGTACATATAGTGAACTTTACCGTGGATATTATCCTCAGCTGTACGGGGTTGGGAAGTCCCATACTAGACAGGATTGGGAGTAAATTAATTTTGTTCATACCGGACAGGGTATTGAGACGGTCTTTAGTATGTGGCACCCATTATCAGACGCGGTATGGGGACGACCAATGATTTATAAGGAAGTGTTATGTACCCACACGTAGCAAGGACCTCTATGGCCCCCTAATGATACCAGTAAGGAAAGATAAATATGGTAAGACAGGAATGAATATGGTATGAATACCTGATTTCGGACAAAATGGTAAAGAACCCAACGTTATATGTTTATTGGAATGTATGTTTGTTGTGATTAAATCATCATTATGATTTTATTTAGTGTTATGTGTTTGATAGACCACTAGTCAGGAAAGGAAATATTAAC